TCCTCTACTGTTGCTGGGTGAAAATCCTTGAACTCCCTTCCGAACAGCATTGTGGGTCTACTGACACTACCTGGCCTGCAATGGTTGAAGAAGACAGCTCACCACTGCATTCTCAAGGGCATTGAGGGATGGGTAATGAATGCTGGCCAGCTGGCAATTCCCATATCCCATGAATGAATTACAAAAACTTCTTCGAATCAGGCTTGATTTCGCAGATTGATGATCATTGTAGAGTCAGGTGACACAAGCTTATAGATTGTTGGCGAATACAATTCTGCTGGTGTGTCACAGTACCTCGCGGATGCCCAGTGTTTGAGTTGTAAAATCTGTTTGAGTTTGTCATATTTAGCAAAGTGGGAGAACCACACAGCACAGTGGAAGTATCCTGACAGTGAAGAAGGAATTGTGCCTTTGTCATGGACAGATGTCCCTGCAACAGGTTGATTCATAAGGGTGATGGCACATAAGCTCTTCCCTCTAGTTGATTCCTTCACCACCTGCCACGGAAAATCCATATGTTTGTAAACTAATTCCAAACCACTAAATCAAGTATACATATGAGGTGGATCTTGAGTGGCAAATAACAGAAATTCCAGTCAGTCATCCCAATTTTGAGAATATTTACCACAGTATGCTCTGATCATCGTTTTGAGGGTTTGATGGTACTTTTCTAAAGCTTCATTTTGTATGTGATTGTTATGCAGAAGACTCATCATGGCTTGCTCACAAAAGTTGAAATAAAAATTTGAATTCTTGATCTGAAGCAATTTCTTTTGTTTAACCTTTTTAGAGTGATGAACTGGGTTAACTTCTCCACCATTATTTTAGTCATAATAAAAGCAGAAGATTCAGAGCAGACTTAACATTAACTCTGTGTTTCTCCTTTCGTGGATCCATCCAGACCTGCTGAATTTCTCCAGCATTTTGTTTTTATTTCAGATTTCCAGCATCCATAGTAATTTGCTTTTATTAGCTTGGCAGTAATTGCTCTTAATGGTATATCCTCTGGCAATCAAGTAATCCTATCCATAATAGTCATGTTATACCAGTGTCCTTGGGTTTGGTAAAGTTCTCACGTAGTCCACTAACACCGTGACAAATGCTTTAATTGCATGTTGTGGTTTTCCCACATCTGATACTTAGGGCATGTTTTGCAAAACTGCACCATGCCCTTGTGAAGTCTTGGCCAGGAAAAAATGTTGAATTATTTGTGGTTGAGTTTTACGGGTCCCTAAATATCCTACGTGAAATTGGAATTCCATCCTTAATACCTCTTGACAATATTTGGGTAGCACCACTAAATGGTACACGATTGTCCACTCTTCACTGCAGGCCAGTGAACATGTCTCCACTTTCTCATCAGAATCCTTTTCTTAAATACATATGGTTGCATTTCAAAACTCCCTTGGCTCCAATTTCATTTTGAGCCTATTGGGTAATTTACTTAACTGTGGATTGTCTTGCTAATCAGAGAAATCTTATTAAAAACTTTCTTCGGCTGATTGACATCCCAAAAGCAAGTTTCCGAGAACAAAATCTGTTGGTGGTGTCAATTCAGTGTTCAACGATGGACTTTGTTCAGCCATTGCTCAGGCTACTGCATGTAAAGGAGAAATTCGTGGAACCTTTTCCTGTAACTGCTCTGTCTCCTTGACCTCGATTGGCTTTTCTGTGACTACCAGAGAAGTTACTACCTTCCCCACTTCAAAGTACCCTACTACTCCATATGACTTTTGATCCTCTCCGAGGAATGGGTTAACTATGACTGCAGGTAAACTATTGACAATCCATATAGTTACTGTTCTACATGCTCGGTCATACTCTAGATGCACTTGATTACAAAGGTGTGGGTATGTACTTCATGCTACTAGCATTCACAGAAACCATAACATTCATGACACTCTGTGCTGCAAAGATCATGCTTTTCCCCAGCAAAGTTGTTGAGTTGGCTCTTGTATCCCTAAGTATCACTATAGGTTTGCTTTCCTCATTTGACCAATAAGAAGATACTAGTCTTCTTGACAAGCGTTTCCTACAACTCTCAGGTATCATGTTATTTTCCCTGTATTTCCAGCAGTGTTTATATTTGGTCTCGAGGCTGTAGTACTTGATCTGTTGTATTTTCAGTCATTCTACATTGATGTTGCATTACCAGATAAGTCCTAGGATTTCCTTTGCAACTTACAGCAAGCTGTACAAAAGTGTCCCATCTTAGGCCTTCATACATTAATTCCACTCTTGGCACCTTCCTTTTTTGCCTGAGGAGTAACTCTTGGGCATGCCCAGCTGTGCCTTCCAATGACGAGTTACTTGCATTCCAGCTTGCAATTGCAATGTTCTGGTTTTCTATATGAATTCTCCCTAATGGAGGGAGTGAGCTTGTAAATTCCTGCCAGTGAATTACTTCCCTAAGGGTTTCATCATCGTCCAATGGTCAGAAATGTTTGCTGGCCGAGCTGTTTCTGATATTCTAAAATTTCTGCCTGTAAACCTCAGGAACCAGCTCATATGCACGAAGAATAGCCCTTTTTTCCACTTCCTAATCTATAGAAGCCTTCTCCAAAAGTAAGACATAAATAAACAGAGTAAGGTCTGCCTGTTAATCTCCTTCGCACGAGCAGTGTTGAATTTTCTTTTGGCTGTCTCATATGCTTAGCCGTCTTTTCAAAAGAAAAGCAAAATACCTCCAGATTCCTTTTGTGAAATTTTGGGAGAGGTGACACAAATTTGAACAGCTTCCCATTGAATCTTGGATTGGACTCCAATATATCCTCGTTAGAATGTTGCAGAGTCAAGGGCCTCCTTTCTCAGCTGCTTTTTTATCTCTTGCCTTGCAGCTCTCTCTTTGAACTGCCACAGGCCATGTTGTGTTTGCATGTATGGATATGGATGCAGTGTTTTGAATGACCTCAAGATTTCTTAGGATAGAATGTAGGAGGTCAACCTGGAGTCCATTGCAATAATCAAGTTTAGGTTTAAGAAAGGCTCTGAATTATGCTTCAACAATAGATGAGCTGAAGCAGGGATGGAGCTGAGGTATGATATGGAGGTGAAAATAGTTGGTCTTAGTGATGATGCAGGCATATGGTTGAAAGATCATCTTGAGTTAAACCAAACACCAATGTGAGCAATCGTGCTTAGTCATAGACATTTGCCAAGGAGAGGGATAGAGTTTATGGTGTTAACAAAAAACAATGCCTCAGTCTTCTATTTCATTGGAATAAAGTTCTTCTTGTTCCCAGTACTGGATGTTAGATAAACTATTGGATAATTTAGCGACAGTGGAGCTGTTGGGGGGTAGGAATCGGTTGAGGGATGATGCTGTGGTAGAGCTGGATGTTGCCAGCGTGCAAATGGAAACTGCTTTCAGTTATGATGCGTGCTATAGTTGCCTGTGACTGAAAATGACAAAATGGCTATTAGGCATTTTCTTTTTAACTGACGCAGACAATCAAAAGAAATTTTATCTGATGCAGCATTTCATTTCGCTCAAATCATGGCCTTCACACTCAGGCAACAAAATGCCTCTGAGTCTTAGTAAGATGGGACTAGAATGCAAACAGTGAGACTCTGATAAAGCAGCTCAGATGAAAATCATCTGATTTGAGATTTCCAATTTTTATTTGAAATAGAAAGGGAAAACTTGACTTATCTGAGATGAGGCTTTTAAATAATTATAATTATATATTCGAGTGGACACATGTTCGCACAATAATAAGTTTTTAAATTTATTAGATATTGGGGAATTAAATTTCTGCAGGCCTTGGATGCAGAGACACCCTTGAAGAAACTTTTCTCTGTCAGCAAGTAGAACAACAAAAAGGTCTAAACAAGATAACCTCATAAGAGTACTGAAAGGTGAATAATGTAGTAAGGGGGTACAGAAACAATTTTGAAACCGAGTTACTATGACCTCAAGAGAATAAACCAACTGCTTTGCAAATTGGATAAGAGGGAAGCTGCTCCCGAAGTTATTAGCTTTGTCACAGAATCATAGTATTAAGTTTAACTAAGTATAAGTTAATAAGTTAGTTTATATTAGAGCTGATATTACAATATTATAACAATTGATAGAAATTAATAACTTTTTTAATCTCCTGTATTAAGTTCAGCAAGGGATATGAATTGCATGGCTGAATTTGAAAATCATTTGTAACAAGCAAATATACAATTATGGTTGGCAAATGTTTAGGAAGGGACATAACAATCTGTGTTGTAACGTGGCCAATAACCTTAGGAGCCCAAGGACAGGCAATAGGGGGTCTGGCAAACATCACAAGATGATGGGAGGACCTATGGTGGACTGTGAAATTGTCCATCATTGATTGTGGTGTATTCACCGGATTGGATATTTCAAGCACTGATGTCAATGTTGCATGTAACCATTGTAATGCGATGTATATCAATATCCTGTACTTTAGTGGGAAAGGTAGAGTGTTGCTGACCTCCGATCTGAGCTGTATTGAGAGGGCACCTGAGCCCTATGTGAAAGCCAGATTCTTTGGCCCCTGCCACATGTGTGGTAAATGGCCTTCAAATAAAGATTGATTTGTGTTACTGAACAAGGGACTCCGACTCCTCTTTAAAATCCCTCTCCAACTGTACATTTGTTGATTCCTCAAAGTAACACTTACGTTATCACATAATAAAACCTGAAAGAACTGTGGATGCTGTAAATCAAGAACAAAAACAAAGTTGCTGGAGAAACTTACATTATCACATTTGAATGTTATTTGATCTTTATTTTTTTCTTTGCTATTTTCAAAATCTCTACAGCTCATCTTTGCTTTGGGTTAGGACTAGGCAAAAGACAGTGGCTGAATCTTAAATGGATATATTGAACATTTTTAACTGTTGTGAAAACACTTGGTACTATTAGTGAGTGCACTGCAAAGACAAATAACCATACAATTCCTAAATAAATATCTTTTAGTTTGATATGTGCATATGTACAAAGTCTGCTTTTTAAAGCCAAATTAATCCATTTCAATTTTTTGCAGATAAAATGAATGAAAACTGGTCTTCAAAACATCTTAAAGACCGATTCGATCACAGGCAAGCAGGTGTGAAAGTGAAGATTGAGAAAATTCTGCCTGAAGAGGAAGCTAAGTATGGACAATGGTTAGCAACAAAACAAACCTCCACTCTAATTTTAATTTGTTCCACTTCACAAAATTTGAATACAGGAATCTATACAGTAGTGTACAAATTAATTTGAAAACCATTTTAAGCAGATGTGTATGGCAAAGGCTTTACTGTTGCATACGTTATCATAGTTTATAAGAGTTTGATGATCAAGTAGAGGAAATTGAACAGTGTTGGTGGTAATGTGCCACTTCACAAGACCACAAAAGGTGCAACACCGTAAATAGACTTATTTGATCTTATTCACCTCTATTTTTTAAATGGAGTTTAATTTTCTTATTTTTTCTTTATTCACTCGTGGGATGAGGGCATCACTAACTGGCCAGCATTTATTGCCCATCCCTAGTGGCCCTTGAGAAGGTGCTAGTGAGCTGCCTTCTTGAACTACTGTAGTCCACATGCTGAAGGTTGATCCACAATGCCCTTAGGGAGGGAATTCCAGGATTTTGATCCAGTGACAGTGTAGGAACAATGATCTGTTTGCAAGCCAGGATGGTGAATGGCTTGGAGGGAACGTGGAGGTGGTGGTCTTCCCATGTATCTGCTGCCCTTGTCCTTCTCAATAGAAGTGGTTGTGGGTTTGGAAGGCGCTGTCTGAGGATCTTTGGTGAATTTTAGCAGTACATCTTGTAGATTGACACTCAGTAGCAGCAGTGTTTACTGTGATGGAGGGAGTGGATGCTTGTGGATGTGATGTCAGTCAAATGGATTGCTTTGTCTTGGATGATGTCAAGTGTTGGACCTGTGGTCATCCAGGTAAGTTGGGTGTATTCCATCACACTCCTAACTTGTGCCTTGTAAATGGTGGACAGACTCTGGGGCATCAGGAGGTGAATTATTCGCTGCAGTATTCCTAGTGTCTGACCTGCTAGCCTTTGACACGGTATGGTTCCCAAGGACTGAATGGGAAACCAAAGAAAGAAATGTCAACAAAAATGAACTGAAAGAAACGCAAATATGTAAAAAGGAAACTGATCTCACCCCCTTTCACTTTTCTCCTGGGGCCCTTTTGCGATCCTGGGCCTTTGTGAGTGCAGTGCCAGCAACTGCCACTATATCTGCTAATACTGAAGTGCAGCATGTGACTTCCTGTCCCATGGCTGTTGAATTTTGTGTGACTGTATTAAGATCTTTGCCTTCTATTTTCTTTTGTCCTCCCTGGAGGATGGCACTATTACCATCTTGACAGCAGGTGGTGGCCAGTTGTATTAAGAATCTGATAAGGTAAGACTAAACTACACCGTCACGCATCAGGTAGATAATCCAAGATTATGTCCAAACTGGACAAACCACCCTGAATCAACCTAGGTACTAGAAATGACAACGGCAAATCATGCCATATTGATCATTCAGAATCCTCCTAATAAATGGGATCTTGTGCCAAAATTGTGAGAACTGTCATATAGACTAGTCAAGCAACAGCCTGACATTGTCTGTAAAGTACAATCTGTGTATCGCTGTGTCCCAGACACCAGCACCACCCTTCCTGGGTATGTTGTGTCCCATTGGACGCCCAGACAAACCAAAGGTGGTGGCTCAGTGGTACAGTGTTTGATGGGAGTTACCCTGAAGGTTCTTAAAGTTAACTCAAGACCTCATAACATCTCATTGCATCACGTCAACATTGGTAAGGAAACCCACTGCTGATAATTTAAAATAGAGGGGCCAAGCTTTTGAAGGCAAAACTGTTTGCATGCCAAACAGCAGAGGTAGCGTGCAGTAAAAAGGCTAAGCAATCCCACAATTAAAAGATAAGATCTAGGCTCTGCAGACTTGCCACATGCAGTTCTGAATAGTGGTGCACAATTAAATGACTAATAGGAGGAGGAGACTGCAAATTCCCCAGCTTCAACAATGGGCAAACCCAGTACAATACAAGGCTGTGGCATTAGTATTGATCTTTGGCCAGAAGAGCCGAATTAATACAATTCACTCCTCATGATATCAAGAAGTGGCTGAAGGCATTGGATATTGCAAAGGCTATTGGCTCAGACAATATTCTGACAATAATTCTGAAGATTTCTGTGCTGGAACTAGCCAAGCCCCTAGCTAAGCTGTTGTAGTACAGATACAACATTGGCATCTACCCAGCAGTTTTAAAGTTATCCAGGTTTGTCATGTGTGCATAAAAACGGGACTGTTCTAATGTGGCTAATTAATGCTCTGTCTGTATACTGTTGATCATAGGATGACCTACTGTTGATCATTTTTTTGACTATGAGATCCTTGATTGGCCCAGGGTTAACAACCTCAATCAGGCAGCCCTGGCCAACCAATATAAACAGGGAATTTAGAATCTCCTCAGCTCAGGGGACTGACTCTGATCTGGCCCACTACAGCTATGCACAAGTAAATAAAGGGTGACTTGGTGACAGGATACCGGCTTCTGTGTAGTTATTTCATCAGCAAAGTGATGGAAGAAATCTTCAACAGAAATATCAAGTGGCATTTGCATCACCACAGCCACTCAGGTCTTGACTTCATTACAATCTTGGTCTAAACATGAACAAATGAATTGAATTTCAGAACTGAGGTGAGACTGACTGTACTTAACATCAAGGCAGCATTTGACAGAGTCTGGCATCAAAGATCTCTAGCAAAGTTGGAGTAAGGAGGAAGTATAGGTGTAAGGAGGAAATCTCTGCTGGTGTTGGAGTCATCCTTGACGCTAAAGGAGTTTGTAATAGTTGTTAAAGAACAATCATCTCATCCTCAGGACACCACTGTGGGATTCTTCAAGGTAGATTCCTAGTTCCATCCGTCTTCAGCTACTTCATTTTTCTTCATCCCTCTATCATAGGATCAGAAGTGGGTATGTTTGCTGATGATTGCACAATATTCAGCACCATTTGCAACACTGTCGCAAATACAGTTTAAGTACTGAACTAGCCTGTGTCCATACTCGGCAAGATTGAGACAATATACAATCAAGGGTACAAGAAATATTTGCACCACAACAAGTGCCAGACAATGATCATCTGCAACAAGAGAGAATCTCACCATCTCTGCTTAACATTCATAGAATTGAATCTCTACAGTGTGGAAATAGACCATTTGGCCCAACAAATCCACACTATCTCTTTGAAGAGCATCCCACCCAGACCTATCCATCTTATTCCTATTTCTGTAACCCTGCATTTCCCATGGATAATGCACTAACCTACACATCTCTGGACACTATGGGCAATTTAGCATGGCCAATCCATTTACCCTGCACATCTTTGGACTGTGGGAGGAAATTGGAGCATCTGGTGGAAATCCACGCAGACATGGGGAAAATGTGCAAACCCCATACAGACAGTCGCCCGAAGCTGGAATTGAACCCAGGTCCCTGCCGCTGTGAGGCAGCAATGCTAACCACTAAGCCACTGCACCGGCCCAATGATTGGCATCATTGCTGAATCCCCCAGTATCAATTCCCTTGGGGCTACCATTGAACAGAAACTGAACTTGCCCAGCCATATAAATTCTGTGACTAAAAGAACAGGTCAGAGGCTAGGAATTTTGTGGTGACTACCTCTTGACTCCCTGGTGCCTATCTACAAATTAGGAGTGTGATGGAATACTTGCCACTCACCTGGATGTGTGCAGCTCCAACAACTCTCAAGGGGCTTGACACCATACAGGACAAAGCAGTCTGCTTGATTGGCAGCACGTTCGCAAACATCTACTCCCTTCGTCGCTGATGGTCAGTAACAGTCTATAAGGTGCATTGCAGAAATTTACCAAATTTACCAAAAATCCTTAGACAGCGTTTTTGAACCCATGACCATCTAGAAAGACAAGAGCAGCCGATACATGGGAACACGATCATCTACAAGTTCCCATCCAAGCCAGTCATTTTCCTGTCTTGAAAATACATCACTGTTCTTTCGCTGTCATTTGGTCAAAATCATGGAACACCCTCCCAAACAGCATTGTGGGTCTACCTACAGCATATTGTCTCAGCATAGAGTCAGAGCTATACAGCACAGAAACAGATCCCTCAATCCGACTTGTCGTCACCAACCAGATATCCTAAACTGAGCTAGTTCTATTTGGCTCATTTCCCTTTAAATCCTTCCTGTTCGTGTACCTATCCAGATGCCTTTTAACTATTATAATTTTCATAGAATCATAGATCATAGGAGGTAAGCAGATCATAGAATCCCTACAGTGTAGAAACAGGCCCTTCGACCCAAGAAGTCCACACTGATCCTAAGAGCATGCCACCCAGACCCATTCGCCTGTAACTCACTTAATCTACACATCCCTGAACGCTATATGGGCAATTTAACTTGGCCAATCCACCTAGCCTGCATATCTTTGGACTGTGGGAGGAAACCGGAGCACCCGGAGGAAACCAACGCAGACATGGGGAGAATGTGCAAACTCCACACAGACAGTCGCCCGAGGGTGGAATCAAACCTGGATCCCTGGTGCTGTGAAGCAACAGTGCTAACCACTGAACCACCGTGCTGCCCACAATTTTATCTGCCTCTACCACTTCCTCTGGCAGCTTGTTCCATATACGCACCACCCTCTGCATGAAAAAGCTGCCAGAGGGAGTGATTTAAATCTTTACCCTCTCACCTTAAACCTGTGCCCTCTAATCCTGGACTCCACTACCCTGGCTATTCACCCTATCCATGCCTCTCATGATTTTATATACCTCCATAAAGGGCACTCCTTAGCCTCTGATGCTCCAAGGGGAAAAAGCCACAGCCTATTCAGCCTCTCCCTATAGCACAAACTTTCCAATCCCAGCAACATCCTTGTAAATCTTTTCTGAACCCTTTCCAATTTAACATCTTTCCTAAAGCAGGGAGACCAGAATTGAACACCGTATTCTAAAAGTGGCCTCACCAAACCCTGTACAGCCCTGTACAATATGGTGTCCCAACTTCTATACTCACTGGTATGTCAAACGTCTTCTTCCCCACCCTGTCTGCCTGCGACTCCACTTTCAAGGAACTTATGCATTTGCTTCCCAGGTCTCTATGTTTGGCCACACTCCCCAAGTCCAGCCCTAGTTTGCCTTACTGAAATGCAACACCTCACATTTACCTAAATTAAATTCCCATCTGCCAGTTCAAGATGACAGCTCGCTACCACCTTCCATCTTAAGGTCAACGAGAGATGGGTAATAAGTACTGGACCAGCCAGCAATGCCTGTGTCCCAGGACTGAATGAAAAACAATCTCCTTGTGGTTTTCATTTTTGGCAGTCTATTGTGTCTTTGGCATTCCTAGTATATCTATGCAGTGTTATACTAGTGGGTGCAGCATTGTTGTTAGAAGGCTGCTGACATTCAGTGGAGGAGAATGACCTTGAGCAGCTCTGAGTCTAGATGACCCATTACAGACTGCAATGTCATGAGTAGCTGTACTCTAGACTGGATGGCTAGCAAGCATCAGCAAGCGCAGAGCTAAATTAGGTGAATAGATAACATAGGGTGGAGCTGGAGGAACACAGCAGGCTAGGCAGCATCAGAGGAGCATGAAAGAAAGCTGACGTTTTGGGTTGGGACCCTTCTTCAGAAATGGGGGAGGGAGAAGGGAGCTCTGAAATAAATAGAGGAGGGATGGGGCTAGGGAAGGTAGGTGGGATGGTGATAGGTGAGTGCAGGTAGGCAGTGCTGGGGATTGGTCAGTGAGGTGGGAGGAGCAGATAGGTGGGACAAAAGATGGACAGGTTGTGTCAGGTCAAGGAGGTGGGGATGAGAGGGAAGGTTGGTCATGGGAATGGGGAGATTTTGAAACTAGTAAAGTCCACATTGAGACCATAGGGTTGTAGGCTTCCAAAAGGTGGAATATGAGGTGCTGCTTCTCCAGTTTCCAGGTAGCGTCAGTGTGACACTGGAGGAGGCCCAGGATGGACATGTCATCCAGGGAGTGGGAGGGGGAGTTGAAGTGCTTCGCGACTGGAAGGTGTTGTCATTTGTTGCAAACAGAGTGCAGGTGCTCTACAAAGCGGTCTCCAAGCCTCCGCTTGTTCTCACCGATGCAGAGGAGGCCACATTGGGAGCAGCGGATGCAGTAAACCACATTAGCGGATGTACAGGTGAACATCTGTCTGATGTGGAAGGTTTTTTTGGTTCCTTGGATGGAGGTGAAGGGGGAGGTGTAGGGGCAGGTGTAGCACTTCCTGCATTGGCAGGGAAAAGTGCCAGGGGTGGTGGGGCTAGTGGGGAGTATGGAGCAGATGAGGGAGTCGCGGAGAGAGTGGCCCCTACGGAGGCAGATAGGGGTGGGGAGGGAAATATCTCTTTGGTTGTGGGGTCAGGTTGCAGGTGGCGGAAGTGGCGGAGAATGATGCGTTGTATCCAGAGGTTAGTGGGGTGATAGGTGAGGACAAGGGGGATTCTGTCTTTGTTTTTATTGCAGGGAGGGGATGTGAGGGCAGGGGTGCGGGAAACGCAAGAGATACGGTCAAGAGAATTTTTGACCACTGAAGGGGGCAAGTTGCGGTCCTTGAAATAAGAGGATATCTGGGATGTTCAGGAGTGGAACAGTTGGGAGCAGACGTGGCGGAGGAATTGGGAGTAGGGGATCGCATTCTTGCAGTAAGGTGGGTGAGAGGAGGTGTCGTCCAGGTAGCTGTGGGAGTCGGTGGGCTTGAAATAAATATTAGTTTCGAGGTGGTCACCAGAGATGGAGACAGAGAGGTCCAGGAAGGAGAGAGAGGTATCACAGTTGGTCCAGGTGAACTTGAGGTTGGGGTGAAAGGCGTTAGTGAAGTTAATGAACTGTTCAAGCTCATCGTGGGAGCACGAAGCAGCACCGATACAATGATCGATGTAGTGGAGGAAGAGGTGGGGGATAGTGCCAGAGTAGCTGTGGAAGAGGCACTGTTCCACGTATGGGTCTTTTCCCCTTCCCATAATTGGGAGGTACTTGATTCCTTCAGAGAATTCTCAAGAACAGCTTGATGAGATGTGGAAATTCCGAAGGGGTTTCAATCATCCAGAAATTAAGTGAATTTTATAGTAACTGCTGTGAATAACCCAGGAGGAAAACCATAGAAAGGTTAAAAAATTGATTTTGTTTTTGTTTTGTTTTTAACTGTACTGCTTTGATAATTCTAGAAACATTGGAAAGGTAGGAACTAGGTGGGGTGATGAAAGATAATGGGGTAAATGTGAGATTATCCACTTTAGTGGCAAAAACAAGAAGGCAGACTACTGTGTGAATGGCGATTAGATTGGAAAAGGGGGAGGTGCAAAGAGACCTGGGTGTCCTGTACGCCAGATGCTAAAAGTGGGTATGCAGGTGCAACAGAAGATGAAGAAGGCAACTGGTTCTGTTGGCCATCATAACAAGAGGATTTGAATAGCAGCAAAAGTGTCTAGTTGCAATTGTACAGGGACTTGGGTGAGACCACTCTTGGAGTATTATATGCAGTTGGGTCTCTGTATCTAAGAAAGGATATTCTGGCTATAGAAGGAGTGCACAAAGGTTTACCAATTGATTCCAGACTTGACAGGACTGATGTATGAAAAAAGACTAAATTGGTTCGATCTTTATCCATGAGTTTAGAAGAATGAGGTGGGTGAAGTCTCCTAGAAAACGATAAAATTCTAACTGGGCTAGTCAGGATAAACACAGGAAGAATTTTCCGATGAACAGTAATCCAGAGCCAGGAGTTACAGTCTACGGGTACGAGGAGAAATTTCTTCCGACTCAATGATGAATCATGGAATTCTCTGTCACAGAAAATGATTGAGGCCAAAGCATTAAATGTTTTCAGGAAGGACTTAGATATAGTTCTTCAAGCTAAAGGGATCAAAGAGTATCAGGAGAAAGGAGGAGGAACAGGCCACTGAATTGGGTGATCAACCTTGATCATATTGAATGGTTGAGCATGCTCGAAGGCCTGAATGGCTTACTACTCTTATTTTCTGTTCTTCTATCCTCGGGAATACACACAGGGTTCGAAGCCTGGAAAACTCACTTTGTAGCAAATAGTTGCTGTTCTAGATCATTGTTATTGTAACAGTGAAAACTTGCTATCTGGACAATTATAACGCACAAACCAAAATCTGCATCTATGTACCTATTTGGTTTTGATGTCAGTTTGAATTCACTGTGTTTAATTTTCATTAAAACTCTTGTTTCTTTTCTTTGCCCTCCTATAGCATTGTGTCAGACTATACCCAGGTATATCCCACAGAAACAGAACTGGAATTGGGGCAGGTGAAAGGTGAAGAGGTGACGATGAATGAATCCCATGAGCAAAATGACTACTGGTGTGAGTGGCTTTCTTATGATATTTTGATTTTATAGAAAAAGCCCAGTTGTTCAATCATATCCCATTTAAAGAAAAGTAACCAGTACAATAGGTATAAATTGATTACGGAGTAAAGACCTTCACAAAGACCTCAGCCTCAACTTGAGGTGTAAGATCCTTGAATATAATTTCAGTTTAGACCAAGTAGAATGTTTGTTTCAAAAAGATTTATGTGTGTTGAAATAAAGGTTGGTTGGCATGCTGGACTTGTCAGAATAAAATAGGAACATTGGGTATGGGAACAGTTAGGAACAAATGAGATTCAGAGAGGATTGTTTAACTTCAAATTTGTTTCTTCTATTAATATGCATCTAACTGAAACCGTTATCGTTTGTATCCTAGTTTGTGAGAATTGCCAGGAGTACTTCGTGGACGAGTGTGCCCTTCATGGACGCCCAATATTTGTTACTGATACACCTATACCTGTAGGCACTCCAGACAGAGCAGCCCTCACAGTTCCTGCTGGAGTAGTAGTTGTGAAGGAGCCTGGAGGAGAGATCGATGTTCGTTGTTTGGATACCATCATTCCAAAAGGAAGGATATTTGGACCATATGAAGGAGAAGTGTGCCAAACTGATAAGTCATCTGGGTTTTTCTCCTGGCTGGTATGTGCTTTCTTAAAGTGAATGTTTGAACTTTACTGTATATTATGACGCATTACCGTAATAAGGTGGGGGCACATAGCTTTGGCTGTTGAACATTTCCTTTTAGGCCAGGAGGTGAAGAATATTATAGGTACATTTTTTTTGTGAGGTGAGACATCTAATTGTGAATTGACACTCCAACCTCCTTTCAGATTTGTGATCTCATTGAATGAGAATCCACACCAGGAATTGTGCAAAATTTAGCCTGTGATTTTCAAGTGCAGAGAGGATGGAATACTTGTATCTCTCAATAACATAACCCATACGTCTTTTGCTGAGTCTGAGTGAAAACAGAGGATCAAGATAGCATTACATATACAGTGCAGAAACAGGTCATACCTCACAACCAGTCCATTCAGCTCTTGTTGAGCTTCCTCCCATCTTTCCTAACCTAAATCTACCTATCTGTTTCCTTCTCTCTCATGTGTTTGTCGTGTTTCCCTCTAAATTAATCAAAAGTATATCCAACCACACCTATGGTAGAGAATTCCATGGTCACACTGCTTTTTTAGGTAAAGACATTCTTCTGAATTCTTTATTACTTGAGGGAAACATGTTTATTCGACAAGAGAGCAGAATTAAATGCATAAATGAATGCTTGTGAATGGCGGAGGAGACCGAAGTGTACATAAACAAGAAAGGGTTGGAGTATAGATAAAAAAGAGATATGGATGCACTTGGAACTAATGGAAGAATTTGAATGTGCGTGGACCAAGAAATGGTCATGGTGGCTAGGAAGTATATGGTTTTGAACAGAAGTTGAAACATCATCAAATAGCTTTTAGGTATAGGGTCCCATCATAACAAAGATAAGGCCAAAATGTCCAGAGTAAAAGCAGTACTGTTTGGAGCCACAAAATAAATCAACAAGTGTAAAGAATAGGAAGTCTCATATGGAGAGACAATCAAAAATAAAGCAGCCACAAAGCTTTCTGGATTGGCATCAAAAGGAGATTGCATGTATAAACGAGGATGACTTCTCCATAAAACAAGAGCGACAACCCTGAACGACTGAAGTAGAGCATGAACTCATAAAGGCTAGTTAAGTCTAATGACCCCTGTGAATTTTTTAAACCATATTTGAAATGGGAGTGTTTGCTTGTAATATGTGAGGAGTTGCAGATTGTATTCGGTAAGGTTTCTCATGAAAGAATGTTTAAAAATATTGAGATCATGGAATTGGAAGAAGTCTATTGGCTTGGATAGGAAATTGGCTTGGGGACTTGGCAGAGAGTACAGATACTAGTTTTCTACTGTAGTTCGCAGGATGTGAATGAGAAAACTGTAGTGATGGTAACACTATCGAATGTCAAAAGGTGGAGATTAGATTGTCTCTTATTGTGATGGTCATAACCCGGCATTTGTGTGGCGCGAATGTTACTTGCCACTTCTGAGACCTAGCCTGGATATAGTCCAGATCATGTTGCATTTGAACGTGGGCTGCTTCAGTGTCTGAGAAATCGCGAATGGTGCTGAACATTGAGCAATCATCGGCAAACATTCCCACTTCTGACCTTATGTTAGAGGGAAGGCCATTAATGAAGCAGCTGAAGATGGTTGGGCCTAGGACACTACCCTGAGGAACTCCTGCAGAGATGTTCTGGAGCTGAGATGATGGACCTCCAACAACTACGATCATCTTCCTATGTGTCAGGTATGACTCCAACCAGCAGAGAGTTTGCCCCCTGATACCCATTGATTCCAGTTTTGCGAGGGCTCCTTAATGCCACACTCAGTCAAATGCAGCCTTGATGTCAAGGACTGTCATTCTCACCTCGTCTCTGGAATTCAGCTCTTTTGTCCATGTTTGAACCAAAGCTGTAATGAGATCAGGTGCTGAGTTGCGGAACCCAAACTGGGCGTCACTGAGCAGGTTACTTCTGAGCAGGTGCTGCTTGATAGCACTGTTGCTGACATCTTCCATCACTTTACTGATGATCGAGAGTAGACGGATGGGGCGGCAGTTGGCTAGGTTGGATTTGTCCTGCTTTTTGTGTACAGGACATACTTGGGCAATTTTCCACATTCCCGGATAGATACTGGTGTTGGAACTGTACTGGAACAGCTTGGCTAAGGGAGCAGCAAGTTGTGGAGCACAAGTGTTCAGGACTATTGCCGGAATGTTGTCAGAACCCGTAGACTTTGCAGCATCCAATGTCTCCAACCGTTTCTTGATATCACATGGAGTGAATAGAATTGCCTGAAGACTGGTATCTGTAATGCTGGGGACCACTGGAGGAGGCTGAGATGCATCATCCACTCGGACTTCTGGCTGAAGATTGCTGTGAATGCTTCAGCCTTATCTTTTGCGTTGATGAGCTGGGCTCTTCCATCGTTAAGGATGGAGATATTTATGGAGCCGCCTACTCCAGTGAGTTGTTAATTGTCCACCACCATTCACGACTGGATGTGGCAGGACTGCAGAGCTTAGATCTGATCCGTTGGTTGTGAGATCTCTTAGCTCGATCACTTGCTGCTTAAGCTGTTTGGCATGCAAGTAGTCCTGTTTTGTGGCTTTGCCAGGTTGTCACTTCATCTTCAGGTATGTCTGGTGCTGCTCCTGGCATGCCGTCCTTCACTCTCCGTTGAACCAGGGTTGATCCCCTGTCTTGTTCATAATAGTTGAGTAGGGGATATGCTGGGTCATGAGATTACAGATTGTGCTGGAGTACAATTCTGCTGCTGTTGATGGCCCACAGTGCCCCATGGATGCCAGACTTGAGTTGCTGAATCTATTCAAAGGCTTTCCCTGTTTTGTACGGTGATAGCGCCACATGACATGATGGAGGTTATTCTTGATGTGAAAGTGGGACTTCGTCTCCACAAGGAGTGTGCAGTGGTTGCTGAAACCATTCTGTTCCTATTCAAACTTCTTTATCTTCTGCCCGATGGAAGACAGTATAACTGGGGTGGGAGGGGTCTTAGATTATGTGGGTTAACTTCCTGAGGTAGCAGGAAATATAAATGAAGTCAGTGGATGAAAGGCTGGTTTGCGTGATGGACAGGACTGTGTTCATGACTTTGTAGTTCCCTGCGGTCTTGGGTAGAGCAGTTGTCATAACCATGCTGTGATGCATCCAGAGAGGATGCTTTCTATTGTGCATCTGTAAAAATTGGTAAGAGTCCTTGTGGATGTGCCAAATTTCCTTAGCCTTCTGAGGAAGGAGAGACATTGTTGTGCTTTCTTGACTGTCGTGTTGATATGGGTGACCAGGACAAATTGTTGGTGATCGTACTCCCAGGAGCTTGATACCTTTGACAATCTCCACTCTGCACCATTGCAGACAGGGGTGTGCCCTCCACTCTGTTTCTTGAAGTCAATGACCATCTCCTTTGTTTTGTTGACATTGATGGAGAGATCGTTGTCTTTACACCACGCTGCTAAGCATTCAATCTCTTTCCTATACTCAATCGCATCGTTGTTCGAGATCTGACCTATAATGGTGGTGTTATCAGCAAGCTTGTAAATGGAGTTGGGGCGGAATTAGGCCACACAGTGAGTGCATAAGGAATATAGTAGGGGGCTGAGAACGCAGCCTTCCTGGGCAACGGTGCTGAGGATTATGGTGGAGGAGGTGTTGTCGCCTATTCTCACTGATTCCAGTCTATGGGTCAGGAAGTCGAGGATCCAGTTACAAAGGAGGGAGTCGAGACCTAGGTCGCACAGTTTTAGAGATGAGTTCCAAATCTGGAACACCTTTCTGCCAAAAAAGGTGAAGCTGAGGAGATCAATTGAAAATAACAGCTGAATTTGATAGATTTTTGCAATGTGATATTGTTAAGGATTACGGTTATCAAGATGACTGGATGAGGTTAAGATACAGATGATCTATAGTTTAAATGAAAGATGGAATAAGGCTGGAGGGCCAAATCACCTGTTCACATTTTTAGACTATATAGCATTCCTCATCCTTACAGTTCATCTTAAGGAGAACATGATAATTGACAAAAATGTTTGTATTTTAACTGTTCAGTGTCATTCATATTTTTTTCTGGTGTCTTTAATTTGTTTAACTGGAAAGAATTGACATTTTGGCTTCTGTACTTTTTACTGTTTTATTTCCATAGAATATTTTTAAACAGTTTAAAACAACAAGGGAAAATTTGTTTAAAGTTGCAGATGATTAGTTCCCTGTAGGCCTTTCGTTTTGCAAGCTGGAACTGCACCTGTGTATTGATCAAATCATCTTTTTCTTTTCTCACTGTGACTTCTTTGTTAATTCAGATACTCGGCAAGAATAACACATACAAGTCAATTGATGGCACAGATGAGACCAAAGCCAATTGGATGAGGTAAGTCAGGAACTCTGATAAAATCTTTGAGGTTAAGTGTAGTGTTACAATCCCCATAGAGACTGATTGATAACTTTTAAAAAGATATTTAAATTTCTAGTGAATGACTGAAAGGATTACATTCAGTATTTCTAGTTTTAAGACATTACTCTAATAATCAAACCAAAAACAATGTTGTCTAATTGCTATTCCTTAAGCAACTTGGGCTGTAACACACAGAAAGGTTAACTTACAAAATTAACAAAAAGTCGCACTCTACAGTTATAATTAATTTGTCTCTTGAGGGCATATGACTCTCCAAGAACCAGTCCAGACCTGTTCTCAGCTCCTGCTGGCTTGCTCCTTTTCTCATTTCTAGCTAGTTAACTTCTTATTTATGAACTGATGTTTCTGGTAAGGGATTTTCTGGGGATTCCTCCCTTTAGTTAAAGCTAAGTGAATCCTCCAACCTTGTTTAAATTCTCACCAACTTGGACTCCTGAATGAGAGTATGAGTTTCCCACTTGCAGTTTGTGTGATGAACAAGAGAGATTGGTTGTCTGTCTGCCCCCCCTCTCTCAGATTCTTTCAGACAGACCATGTCTGTGAGGGTCAGGGATATCTAATGAAACCTGCAATCTAATCTTATAATAATTTCCTATAGGTTTCTCCCTTTCAAAGCCCATTCCCATGACAAATTGAATCTTAAAGGCCATGTAACCAGGTAGAAATGTGAATCCTTTAAACCCGCAACTATATTCTGTCTTAAAATTAAAACAGTAATTTAAGTTAAATATAACTGATTACATTTCCAGACAATCCTCTTTGAGACCTGAAAACGACTAATCTACCAACAATCAGAATTATCTGATGTTGTGAATATCTTGCACATTCTTCTTAGTAAGTTAAATTGGGGGCCTCTTTAAGAAATGACATGCTTCAAGGTTGATTGGAATGCACAAGTCACATGACTCTTTCATTCCTCCATTTTGTCATCAGTTAAAGAAACAATCTCAAAATATAACAATCTAATAAGCTTTGTATTTAAAACAGTGCGGGGAGAGGAGGGAATTTTGACCTGAATCTAACTATGCAAATTTCTTTTCTAAATCATTGCCATAAAAGAAGCACTTGGTATATTTTCATCTTCCTTTTGGGAAATTGAGCACGTACAATTTGTAGTGAGATGATGACATACTCTGTACTCTAGGGCCAGAAGTGATTGTACCAAGCTGGGGCCATCTTAAATCATTGCAAAACAAATGCTCAGATTATCATACGTTATGAAACAAGAGTGAGAACGGAACAGACTTGATCTCCTTTTACAATGATAAAGTTTTAGATTTTTAAAAATAAATTAATTATCCTTTAAGTTTTCAGCTTTTTATTGATGTGATTTTTTTTGGTGTATGTCCAAACAATTCCATAACTATTTCCAATGCTACTGTTCAATTTATTCACAAGTACATATATATATGTTGTTTCCATATGAAGTACTGTCATTCAGGTTGAATTGAGGAAACCTCATGGTCAGAAGAAAGTCCACCCACTTTGCCAAAACTTGGACATAATCATATTTATTATGAGAGTATATGCACTATAAGTGCCCACTGCGCATTTTTAATTTATTGATTTGTTGAAGGTATGTGGTTATATCAAGAGAAGAAAATGAACAGAACCTCATGGCATTCCAGCATAATGAGAAGATTTATTTTCGAGTGTGTAGGGATATTCGCCCTGGCGAGAGGCTGCGAGTTTGGTACAGTGATGATTACATGAAACGCCTCCACGCAACCACACAGGACACTGTGGACAGAAATCTACTAACTGGTAAGTGCTTTATGCAATTAAAAATAAGCATGAGTGGTTGGAATTGATAGTATGGATCATGATTTGATGGATTAGTACTGCTGAAATATGCTTTTTTTTACTAATAATAATTTCTAGCTTTGATGGATAGGAATCATAATTCAAAATTGGTTTAAAAATGGTTTACCGTGAACCTTGGTTTACACACTCGAAGTGACTCAACCCAGAAAAATTGTGATATTAGTTATTGCAGCAAAGCAAAGTTCAATGTGATTTACTAACTATTGACTTCAGTGTCAGATTCTGTAGGTATTCAGTAAAATAACTTAGACTTTTATTTACAGTATGTCAGTTGTATGATATTAAAATTATAAAATTTGAACTCCTCCTTAATGCAAAGGAATTGGTGATTCTTTCAGTCATATGAATGCTGTTTGGTAAAACCTTGATTCGGGCTCTGGGTTCAGTCCAAAATGAAACATATTCCCTCTTGTGCTATGATCCTGATTCATGTATGACAGTATGCAATAGGGTTGCCCCTGAGAATAAATTGGTTTTTGTATTAATTGTTCAGACTAAATTTTTAAGCAGATGTGTGCTATTGAAAAATTCAGGATAGTGGGTTTAGGTACTGCTAATGTTTTTTTTTTAATAAACATTGCTATGGTTATTGTACAAGTTCATACAAGTTGTGTGGTGTTGAGGCAGGAAAGGCGCATATTTTAATTGAAGGCATCTGCTGTGACTGAAGGCTGAAAATATCATAGTGCTACTCAGATATTGAAGGCTGTTAAAACTGATGTAACAAGTGCACTTATGAAAGCATATAAAATAGATTCTGGTTTATTGAAAACTGATGAATGATGCAAGGCTTGTAATTCAAGTCCAGACAATAAGCAAGTTTGGAAACTCAATCCTGTAGAGAGTATTTACCTTGCAACATGACATACCGTCATATATCTTGTTTTATACCATACAGTTACTGAACTTTACAAATGATTTTTATTGTATCTCTGAGATAGCCTTGTGGTTTTACACTGTTAGTTTTGGCTTAGCAGAAAGCTGCTTCATAGTCTGTGCCGATGTGGCAGGCAAATTAAAGTGGGGAAGAGATGGTTCTGCTTTGTACGCCAAAGTAGAAAGTTGCATTAAAAATTTTGAAGTTACTTTTACATAAATGATATTGGTGCAAATAGTAATCAGTTGCACATGATATGAGCACTTGATGTGTGGCACAATCATTTAAAGGGTTGTTGTTCTTGAGATTGCACATGTAACAAGATTTCCAGGTTCAGAAATTGCAAATGAAGACGTTATATCTATTTCTCAGCTCAGACAAAAGACAAATAATTCCATTATTTGAAAGATTATTATCACTTTCAAAGACTATTTTAAACTCAGAATTTACTTCAAAATTTATTCAAAAAAGCAAGAATTGTTATTCTATGCAGCGATGAAGTTTAATGAAGTACCTTTACTACTAATTACGTATAGAATTGAATAAATTTCTGACATTATTATTCAGAAATGTTCTGATAATATAGTACAGTTGTTGACTAGTGTATTTTAATGATTAGTTTCTCTTGTTATAGATTAGATAATGGAATTGTTTTTCCTCATTTTTCACTTTGTCTTTTACAATATATATTGGATGACTGATTTGTGATGCAGAGTGACACCAACAGTGTGGGTTCAATTCCCATACCAGCTGAGGTTACAATGAAGACTGTTCTTCTCTACCTCTTCCCCTTCCCTGAGGTGTGCAGACCCTCAAGTTAAACCACCACCAGTTGTCTCTCTGACTCTAATGAGAGAGCAGTCGTATGGCCTAGTAAAACTATAGTGACTTTTTATGAATGACTTGGATGAGGAAAGTGAATGCATAAAGCTAATGTTGCAGATGTCAAAAAATAGGTGAGAAGGCAAGTGTGAAGGTGATGGTCTGCAGCGACAGACAGATTAGGCAAGTTGGCAAAAACTTAGCAGATAGAATATAATGTAGAAAATTATGAGGTTATGCATTTTTGCAGGAAGAATAGAGAAACTGAATATTACTTAAAGAAAGACTGTAGAAAATGACATCATTATTTAAGGAACGATATACTGGCATTGGAGGCAGTGCAGAGAATGTTCACTCGGCTGATATAAGGTATGGAGGGACTGTTTTCTGAGGACAGGTTAAGTAGGTTAGGCCTGTAGTCATTGGAGTTTAGAAGAATGAGAGGCAATCTTATTGAAACATACAAGACTCTTAGGGGATTGACAGGGTAGATCTGGAAAGATTGTTTCCACTTGTGTGAGACTTTCGGACTAAAGGGCATAATGTCAGAAGAAGCGTTCACCCATTTAAGACAGATGGGGAAGAATTTCTTCTCTTAGAGTGTTGAGAGTCTGTGCAATTCTTTAACACAGATGGCTGTCAGGAATGGGTTGTTAATTATATTCAAGGCTGAGATAGACAGATTTTTAATCATAAGAGAATCAAGATTTATGGGAAAAAGGTAGGAATTTAGTTGAGGATTAGCCATGATTTCATTTCATGACAGAGCAGACTCAATGGGCTGAATGGCCTGCTTCTGTGCCTGCGTTTTATGATCTAATATCAGCCACTTGTCCTTGTTAAAGTGTACATCACATGCAGAGTAAAAAGTGTTCCTTAATTTCCATTTGAAAGATATTCCATTAATTTATATTTACTCACAGAGGAATACTCTGTACTCCACCAGAGTGATATTTCCATACTAGTCTTTCTGAATCATATTAATAATATGGAACACTTTGGGCAGTATAATGTTTGATCTATGATGACTGGAAACTCTATTCCTGGTGATTGCAGGTCTAAGTAAATCTCAGAATTTTGGCAATAGTAGCAGCACTGAATATGGGTTCCTGCCTGGCCCACTGAATCACATATCATTCGTAATTAAAGAGGGACTTCTAAGTAGAAAAGATGAAGAGAAATTGTCTCAAATCCTTCAAAGGACTTTATCTTCTCAGGATAAGGGCCTTGTTTAGAAGAGCTTTTGAGTAATTTGGATTGCCTCAGTAGTTGCTGGTTGTATAACTAGTACAGATTTTGAATGTCTGTCAAAGTGGGTCAATGAATAATTTGGGAATTAAATAAGTCTCTTAAGTTTTCCAATGAAATATTCACTATCTATAAAAATGAACTGTGACTGAACCTTGTAATTTAGTATTTTGAGCATAAACTACCTGTTGTTATCTTAGCTGTATATGGCATGAATCACATTGATCAAAGTGGCTACTGATGAAAAGTTAAACACATACATTCATGTTTCACAGTAGGAAAAGAACACCGTATATAATATTATTCATGGTGTCATGGTAATCACTTCAATTCTGCCCAGATTTTGTAGTCGTGGTGAAAATGGCACTCCCCTAAGACTGTGAAGGAAGCTGCTCACAAGATCTTGCAATCTGTGGAGCTGATTTCATTTTTCCCAATGTTAATTTGAGTCTGATACCAACTGTAGGAGATCACCACTGTCCAGAAATAATGATGTAATCAGGCTTGCTAAGCAGCCACTCACATGGAAGAATTCTCTTCAGCAAAAAATACCAGGAAGTATTTACTTAAGTATCCTCCCTTTTTAATAATTTTGTGGACAGTGAAGTAAGAATTAGAACGTAACTGTGGGATTAAGGTAAAAGGTGACATTTCATAAACTTGAAAAAGCATTAATATTTAAGTTCAAAAAAGTACCTGCAGTTTCAATAGCTGTTGGTTGACATAAGCCTGAGAACTAGTATTATTAATGCTTACCTGCTCCCACAACCTATTACTATAATGGTGTCTTAGAGTCTGTAAATGCAGTTTGATTAACATTTCCAAGATGTTATTAATGGATTAGTTGTCTTTGATGTGGGCCTATGAGTAGAATGTTTGTTTTTATAAGGGAGCATCAAGGATTAAGGGATTTGAGAAGGTTTAAATATACTGAATTTATTTATTTATTTGCTTTAAAAATGTCAAAAGTATTGACGGTAATGAGTTGTGTTCAGCCTTGCTGTAAAGTTGCAAGCATTCATAATTTAATGATCTGAGCTGTCCAAAGCTATCATCCCTAAAATTACATAGAAGGAGCAACACCACATTTTTTAAAATTAATTTTCAGTGATTGAGAAGTTGATTGGTGGCAACTAACACTTATCAAGTCTTTAAGTGAATACCTTGACATGAAATGACAAGACTTGATTTACTGTGTCAAGTTTAATTTGTGCCTACATCCTAATGCAGCAACTTTGTGGCATTCAATTCATTTCAGCATGAGAAAAACATTGAATACTTTCTCAGGCAATACTGTGCATTAAGAAATGTTCTCCTACTTCTGTATCAATTTAATCTCACTTGAATACTCGAAATGATTAATAATGGAAGAACATGTATATTTTGAAAACCGCAAATGAAATCTCATGCTATACCATAAAGATGGATTCAGCCTGTATGTATAGATTGCAGCTCTTTTTTGTATTGCAGTTCTTAACTTTTTTTTTAAATTGATTCATTTGTACATGTAACAAAATACTACATCAATTGTATGTGTAACTTAGACAATGCAAATGAAGTAAGATGCTGATTTGAAGTGCAGAGAGAATTTTGTGTTTAATGTTTTGTAAATCGAATTTTCAGCGTTCTGACTGTGACATTGTAGATTGAAGGAAATTCTATTGTTGTGAAATTAGATCCTCCTTATAGGATCTCTTGTAAAATAATCCGTACTTATTTTTTATTAGTGTGAAAATAAACATGAACATGGTTTTTCTGAAAAGCATTCAGTGACTTGCAACATTTGTGAATCATTTTCATTCTCATGGCTTTATCATTTGTATTAAATATAGATGCTTATGGTTGCAGGAAATTCTTTTTATTGTACAATAGCGCAGCATGCTTTTGTACGGATCCAGCTTGTTGATCATTTTCATTTGTCATGCTTGTCTTATGTGTATCATCAAAATGATGCACTGTTTTCAGTTTTGCATTGTAAATATATTCTCTTTTG